TACTGTAAAATATGCCGTATTTTCTCTTTATTTTGCTCCATGTTTGCGACGCTATAACTCACGAACGACGTAAAAGAAACGACAATCAATCAAACACGTATTAGCGCGTGAAATRWGCTTCCTAAAAAGGCATAGCTGACCCGATGCGACGAATAAAACTAGAACTAYGCGCTCTCAGCGCCAATTAGCGAAAATACCGCAAGACTTTTTTGACAACCAATTAAATTAATACTGTCCGAAATCAGCTATAATTGTTGCAAAGTTAAATAGTTTGTTGGAATTTGAAATTATACATATATATAAATAAAATAATGAAATGGCATGAAAATTTTTCACAAATGGTGTCAGCATGGAGTTGCACTTCTTATGTGTGTGTAGCTGACTTTACAAATTAATCCAACTCAGAGGTCATCCTTTCCCGGTAATAATGTGCCTTGGTACCAAAACTTAATTAAATCGGTTATGACCTTTAACAGTAGAGGAAGCGAACAAATAGGCGTTGAACCGCAATGAAAAGAGTTTGTAAAACCTTATTCATTGAAAATTTGTCTCCGTTCTCCGTTTTACGGTTATTTTCATATTAAATTTCGTAAGATTTGGTAAATACTACCATGTATGTAACATTTTTACATATTTATTGATCTTAAAATATTTCATTATTCGTAGAATGTGTCTTTAGTTTCTTACTTTATAACAAAAATATTAGATATCACAAGAAAACCAATTAAACTATTGCTCAAGATCTAGTAAACCACGTCGTTCATATATGGGTAGAAGAGTTTTTATTATATGTTGAACATAAATATTTCTAAAGCATGTGTCTTTGAAGCGAGTAGCTCGCTGGTCGTTCTGCATAATCGCTTTAAAATCTGCGTCTTCGGTATCTTCGTTTCGCTGAACCGCTAAAATAACGCAAGTTGAGTGAAACGCTGTAAGAAAACATTAAAGTTAAATATTTGAACGACAATGTTAACTGTGCAAAAATTACAGCTCACCGTAAAATGCTTTTTCTTCAAGCTGCAAATGAAACTGGTGTAAGCTTGGAATTTTAACTCGATACTGCAATTTGCTTAATGTGTCCGAAAAAGTTTCATAATAACATTGAATGAGTTCATCTTGATGATTCAAATGCATATCCTCCTCCAATGAAGTATTGAGAAAATAATGCAGATCTAATGCCGGTGATCCCCAAGCAGCATATTGAAAATCGATAATCGTCACATCCAATGGTTCGCCAGTATTCTTGTCGTATTTAACCATTATATTGTTTGTCCAGAGATCACCATGCGCCAATACATTCACATGACCTGGAATAGGATCAAATACTTGTTTTCCCAATTCGGCATACTTAGATTTCAGAGCCATTAACTTGTTCGCGTAATACTGATAGCCGTCCCACTTTGCAGCATGTCGACTGCAAGCCATCAATAGGCCTTCAAAGCCAGGCATATAATTGTTTGTATGCCTATTGAAGAAACCACGATCAAAGGTTTCAAGACAGCCATTTTCTCGCTCGTTCAATACTGCGGAAGAAGCGTGCATTTTTGCTATTTTGCGCAGCACCATCTTTGACAAATTCATATTCAGCCCAGCTAAGCGGTTAGGCATTACAAATTCCCGTACATTCAAGTCTTCGAATATGAGGGCAGAACGTTCACGATCAACAGCTATAGTCTCAGCAAAGATTTTGTCGTGGTCACCTATTTCTACTAACAAGGCATTCAGCCGGGGCAACACATTTTCGTAGATAGACATTTCACGATTGAAAATATCGTACGGTTCCATAGTTTTTCGTGAAAACTCATCAGCTTCGAAGGATGTTTTCACGACATAGTGACCAGAGACTACGGCGCCCAAGTCTGTTTGACATTCGGCACGAATGCGAGTTAAAACACCACCATAATTTTCACCTTTTCCCAGCGCTGGACGAACGTCCCATCTGAGGATTTTTAGCTTTTTATCCTTGTAATGCTTACGTAGACACTGTTCCAAATAGTCTTTTGTTAGCCAAGTAGGCGTATCTGACTGCTGGAGATCTTCGCTACTTTTAACGAAGGGAGCGCTGAAGGACTCCTTGGATATATTTAATAAATTTTCTGAAGAATTCATTATACTAACGTCAGACGTCGACATTTTGCACACAACAAATAAACAGTAGATACTGGAGAAATCGTTTAACCCAYTCAAGGCCGTACATTCAAATAACGATGGAAATACTGGAGTTGTAACCTTTTATATTTCATATTTGCCTGCCCGAGCTGAGGCGACACGACTTAGCCAATTTTTATGACCACCCAGATTTACAACATTGTGGAGAAAAGTAGATTTCATTTGTTAGGAAAATGGATTTAYACAGACACATGTGCATTAAGTAAAGCCGCGAGCAGTCACAAGTGTGTAAAACACAATTATATTTCCCATAAATATTTCTAAAGCGTAAATTAGCATTTAAAGCAATAAGTTCTTATGCATATATACACACTCRCATATCTCATGAATTGGCGAATTTAATGAAAGAACCTCGCCGGAAATKTTAAGCAAATGTTCTGACGTGCGGTGCGAATAGAATTAAATAAAATAACGAACACAGTGATTAAAAAAATATAAAAGTTGTATTTTTTCCTGTTTCAAAAGTGCCGAACCGGACTAGTGACACTCCTTATAAAGAGGATTGTGGCCCCCTTTAACCTTTACTAGAGCATTTACTTTAGGTATTTTTTGATAAGAAAGTACTGGCAAGGTCTCATAATATGATGTGTACTAATTGAACGTTTCATTGTATGAAAGACTGCAGATTGCTGAATGCAAACTCTATTTATAGCGCAAATATTAGTGCAAATTAATCCAAAGGCGGACTGACGGTCTGGGATTAAAAATTATTGTAGTGTTATCCAAAGCGCAAACTTATAAAGAAAAGTTGTGTATTTGCTTTGCATTGTTTGGCTATGCCGGATTAACCCTCTAAATGCCACCATAATGATAAGACAAAATTTTAGCCTAGCAGGTCAATGTATTCTTTAGCTCTCAATTTTGATTATACAGGTATTTGTCTAAAAATATTATAATTTTATTTAAATAAATGTTGTGTATAAAAGCAATATTTTTATTTGTTTACGTAATTCCGTCTGGTTATAAGACTTTCATCGTCATTCAAAGGCGGACGACAAGCTCCAACTACGTGCTACGACAGCGACTACTTCCAAAAGTTAATCGAGCTTGTACATGAAGGAATGCAAATATAATTAACTGTACCAATTCTCGTGCAGTAAATTGYTTAAATCTCTTAACAGCAGTTTTTTGTTCAAATTAAAACACTATTTAAACAAATGTAGCCCGAAGTGTTAAAATACTAGCGCCACATTATGTTATCATTGTGCGGAAAAATCTTACACGCTGGAATTTAGTATATAAAGATGTGTGCATGAGAAAGCTTTACAAAATTCAAATGGCATATCAGAGGCTGAATTCGCCTGAGTGGCTGACAGAGAATTAYGTACAGGAGGCGTTATGTGTTCACCACAAGGATCCCAATCTTCACCTATACTCCATACACGCCCAACCGGCCATGGGAAAGGGTGAGAATTTTGGTGGAGTTTTGACTCGAGTCATAGCAAAATATCAACTTAGCAGAAGCCAACAGCGACTCGAGAAGAGTTTAATTGTGAAGACCTCTTACGAAAGCGATCCTATTGCAAGCGCTATAATGGCTCCTTATGATATATTCAATCGTGAAATGTCCATTTATGAGGAAGTGTTGCCTAAGTTAACTGCGCTGCTTCGCGAGATCGATGATTCAGATGAGTTGTTTTCTACAGCCATCCATGTAGATCACAAACGCCAATTGCTGATTTTCGAGGATCTTAAGGAGAAGGGCTTTATCATGGCGAATCGCTTGCAAGGCCTAGATATGACACATGCAAAACTAATACTGCTGAAGTTGGCTAAATTGCATGCCACATCKGCAGTGCTTAATGAGCGTGAGAATAGTCACTTGGAAAAATACGATCGCGGCTTCTTTAACCGCTACACCGATAATTATAGTACCTATTTTGTTGGATCCCTGTTGTTATGTGCTGAGTTTATATTGACAAATATGCCCGACCTTGCGTTCTATGGGGATAAATTAAAAAGACTGGCACCGCATTACATGGAAATCGGAAAACGTTGCTTCACACCCACACCGGGGCACGTAAATGTGTTGGCCCATGGCGATGTTTGGATCAACAATGTTATGTTCAAATACGACCCGAAGACAGGTGAACCAGTAGATGTGCGCATTATCGACTTTCAGTACTCATTTTGGGGCTCGCCAGCACTAGATCTGCACCATCTCTTCAACACCTCGCTGCAAGAGCCCTTGCGCCTTTATAAACAGGATATACTATTCCAATATTACCATGGTATTTTCAGCGATGTGCTGAAAAGACTGGGCTATAGTTCACTCCCAGTACCTTCGTTAAACCATTTCCGTCAACAAGTTGAGCAGAAACGTTTCTTCGGTAATTGTTTCAACATAAATATTTAATATTTACACACACTTATGTATGTAAATACTTTTTAATTCTTGTAGCTTTTCATTCGGCGTGTGTCATACAACCTGTGATGATAAATGAAGACACAGCTGATGCAGATTTTAATTCTTTGGTAGGCGAGGATGAGCGTGCAATTAAATTCAAATACAGCTTGTACCGCAATAAGAAGGTTCAGAAAAATCTTACAAACTTACTACCAGTATTCCATAGACGGGGACTTTTGGAAGTGAATCAGGCAGACTAACAATTTCAACATAGTACCTTAAATAAAATTGATAATACTATAAACGAAGTAAAAAAAACATATATATATATATATATTTAAACGCTTACGGAGACAATTTTTTTAACAAGTAACCGTAGTCTTTCCAGTTAGAATATTTTAGCACATACTGTAGTTACAGCCGACTCGAATAAAATCTTTATTAGGAAAAAAGTTGTAACTCAGCAGATCGCACCAAATGTTTTACTTAACAGCTGCAAATGGAATGACATTCAATTATTTACACGACTTGTAAAACAGATTTAAACAACAACAATTTCATTTAATCTTTGTGAAATGTGTTTGTATCCAAATGTTTATTACTCAAAARAATAATGTGATCTTTACCATTATATTGATTAAGTACATAGTCTACAAAATATTTGATTATTTTGGAAAAATAAACGATTTATTTCTGAATGTAGTCTTAGTAGTTTGATGATGGCCCTTTCAAGTTTGCAAACAAAAATATGTCTTGCGGGGTCAAATCTAAAGAAAATGGTGCCCAGTTTGTAGTTTGATACGAATTTTTTGTCCGGGTTGATCAAACACGGTTTTTTAATATGCATACTCACTCAGCTATTGTGTACATTTTCAATCGGAGTTCTGCCAATACTAGAGTGTGGATTTTAGTMAAGTTATTTTAAAGCTGCTGTTGATTGTTCGTTAAATAGAATGGCGACAAAAGTTATTATTTATTTCAGTAATTTAATTTTATGACCGATGGGTTGGGATATAATTAGCTTAGTGGACGGCAGGGGCTGATGATTATATATGGGCCTTTGCTGAACATTAATCTATTCTACTCTACGTAGTTTAAGTTATCTGATATTGCACAGAAGTACGAACAGATCCAGTGATAGTACAAAAATATTCGAACTATCTATTGAGCAACATGTTGCTGGAGTATTTTGCATGGGTGAGATCTCTATTCTCTTCCCTATTGCTTAGGTAGGTGGTATATATATATAAATATAGTAATAGTAAAAATACTACCTATAAATATTACAAACTTATCTTTTTAAATATTACAACGGAACAGAGGTAAGTGGGTACATAGTTATTTCAAAGTTGGCATTCGCAATTTTTGTTATTACTTTGCTGAATTGGCACACACATAAACATACACACATACACGCTAAAATATATGGGTTTTACATTTCTATTAGTTCACTCTCAGACGGCAGATATAATTGATAATATATGTATGTAAAGTGCGGCCAGCTAGTTATAAATGCCAGTGTCCGATTGAAGAAAGCTTCCAGACTYGAAGAAAACCTTGCTGCGTCAAGACAAACAATAGAATATAAATTAATTTTAATTTCTTTAAATAATGAAAGACATTGAATATCAAGTAGCCCCACTTTGGTTAACCACGGAGTACGTCGAGTCTATTTTACGGAGATATAAGAAGGATGAAGGACTTACAATCACAAAACTGGACATAAAACCAGCTACAAAAAAGGGTGACAATTACGCCAGTGTGATGACACGAATCAGCGTCGATTTMACGTTAAGCACCAAGAAAACGCAACATGGTTTATATATCGTAAAGACCTCACATGAAAGTGATCCCTTCATAGCTGGTATCATGAGTCAATATGATATCTATAATACGGAAATGTTAATGTACGAAAAAGTCTTACCAAAACTGACCGAGCTGCTAAAGGAAATCGGTGACACAGATAAACTATTTGCCGACACCATTTATGTGGACTACGAGCATTCAGCTATAATTTTTGAAGACCTGGCTGTGTTAAAATTTGTTACTCCCGATCGTTTAGTTGGGATGGATGAAGCGCAGACCATGTTGACACTTAAAAAACTAGGCAAAATGCATGCCACCGCGGCCGTACTAAATGAGCGTGATCGTGGCATTCTAACTAAATTGCAAAGGGGGATATTTAATCGTCAAACAAGTGGGTTTGCACCGTTTTTCGAGGGCGTTATAGAGGCTTGTGCGGATTTTGCTGGAGAGTGCGCGAGTTTGGGATCTTATTACAAGAACAAACTGCTCAAGTTAAAGTCACATGTGATGGAATATGGAACGCGTTCCTTTGATCCATGTCAGGATGACTTTTTAACACTTAATCATGGTGATATGTGGACCAATAATGTAATGTTAAGGTATGAATATTGTGACGGTAGTGATGAACGATCAACAACTGGAAGGATAATTAAAGATATCCTGCTGATCGATTTTCAGTTCAGTGCATGGACGTCGCCAACGCTCGACCTTCACTATTTCTTTCAAACTTCATTGCCTTTAGAATTTAAGCTGCACCGAGAGGATGAACTTGTCAAGTATTATCATGGTTTTTTGTCTGAAACTTTGCGTCTACTCCATTATAAAGGACACATTCCTAGTTTACATGAATTTACTGTGCAAATGGAGTCTCACCGATTTTACGGTACGTAAATACATGCACATACATATTGCTGATATTTGAATTTTGAATCGGAAATACATTTTCTGTTCTCTCTGTAGCGGTTGCTTCGTCGCTGACATGTCAGGCTCTCCTTATTAATGACAAAACTGATGAAGCCGATTTCAACATTGTGATGGGAACTGGGGAACGTTCGCATGCATTTCATARGCTTTTATACACAAATAAGAGAATACAAAATAACGCTATAGCATTACTGCCTTACTTCGATCGCAAAGGACTACTTGATGTAACTAAATAAAATACAATAGTAAAGGTCTTTAGATTTTATATTACGTACCATATATATATAAATATGTATACGCAATTTTATCGATATGTGAATAAAAGAAATGTTCCTAAATATTATGGCAAGGTATTATGGCAGTAAGTATTTAGCAGAATAACTGAATAAAATGCATGCAATCATGTTTTATAATTATGTTTGTAATGTTTATATTTTTTATGTTTTAATGTGTGAGTTCTAACATATTCAATTGTACAAATTATATAACGATTGCACAAATTGAGTAAATTTGAAACATCAATTATATATGCATTCTATTATTATACTGGCTTTACCCATCGCTTCGATCCCATGGTACCCTTAAAATAATCAAAGATCATAAACAACTGCAAATAACTACATACACATATGTATATAGTATGTACACGAATATTTTACCGCRCCGATCATCTTCCTGCCGTGGATGGTAACCCGAAAACTCCAATTTTGTCTGATTTTTACAAACACTAGCTTTACCCGCGGCTTTGCGGACATTTGACACTCGCGAATAGGCTACATATAGTTGACCTTAAAGGTTACCTCTTCTGAATTTACCCCTTTCTCCTGTAACGTATGCCCTTACGCTTTGCATAGAGTAACACAAAATCTGAGCCTAACCGGAAACTGAACAGATTTTTATCTTTTTCTTTAACTGGAACTTCGGCACTAATATTTTGTCGATTTGTTCGAGTAGCTTCTATTATTTCATTAAAAACAAAATTTAACTATTTTCCAAAAGCATCAATTAAATTTTTAATTTTTCAAAATTTTAAAATTTCACACAAACCATAAAATCTGCCAAAAGAGATTTTTTCTCAGTCCGTAAAAGATATACTTGTTTTTTAGGGTATAAGTATTCTATGTCCTTTCGAGGGCCATTTTGTACGTGTACTAAGTTTCATGATGATACGGTTAAGCGGTTTCGGCGTGAAAGCGTATCAAACAAATTTACATTCACATTTATAATTACAAATATTGTTAAWAGTATCTACATATATAATTCAGAATTTCACCACAAATGAGCAAACAACTTTTACACTGAYTAAGACGCTCAACATTACTACATTTACACTCGCATATGTATGTGGGTCGGAAGAGTTAACAGTAAATCACACGAAGCTTGCTCCAAGTGGAAACCAAATTGAAGACGAGTTCTTCGACCTTCTCACGACCTGTTCAGTACATCCTTTCAGCTGAAATGAGAGTAGTGGYCGGCCCTGCGGCTCTTACTTAGCTTCACTGGTTTTAGTTAAAGCCATAAATCCAAAAAGAATAAATTGATAAAATATTGTTTTATATAAAACTGTTGGCTATGCATCAGCCTTTCGTTGATTTAACTTTAGGGCTGACTCTAAACGTAAACTAACTCCGCTATGAGAATTTTAAAGAATAACTTAAATTAAGGGACAAATAAATATGCTCCAACTAATTTAGAAGCGTCTTTAATATGAGTACGACAATTAGAAGTTGAGTACTTAGTTCTGTCGTTATGATAAGTCTATTTCACAACACTCTGTACAAAAAATTGTGCACAGATACTTACGATAATAACTATAAATTGTGCGGAATCCCAAAATTCATGAACAAATACAGAGAATGTATGGTGGAATTAACGCGTTTGTGCGCAATATATGGTTATTTGTCGTAAAATGTTAGCATTGTTTAATACATATGTATAGATATCCCAATCTCATCTTTACGTAGAGTACAAAAGTAAATGATAATCATTGGAATGGTCTTGAAAATTCGTCTTCTTATATCCAGAACAAAAAATTTATTTGTACTCGACAGGCAATTTAAACATCGTATTATATTTTAACATAAAGTATACATATATGTTAGCGCTGTCTTCTTGGTTTTTAATGTTGGATCTGATTTATGTATATTTCGGTTGGTGRTAGTCACCATAATGTTATTAAATATTAACCTAATCGGTCCCAAACATTTGAAGACACCATTGCATTATATTCCACTATACAGTAGTTATATATAAAAGAGAACGAGACGAGTTAGAATTCGAGTAACTGTCTGAAAGCTTGAGTAAAAATTGAGATATATTGAGGAAACTTGCTACTCGTACATATGTTCCTTGACAAGGGAGGTCGATAGGTAAGGAATATGCCAACTAAACGGTGGCACTGCCCACCTTTAGGATGTATCTCAGGATATCAATTTCCATTAAACTTAGTGTGTAAGGTTAACCAAACACGTCTATTATACGCTGTGAAAATGGGGTAAATCGGAAGACAGCCACGCCTACTATATGGAGAATAGAATCCATCTGATTCTTTCACTTTAAAGCATACAAATCAAGCATGAATGAGGTTATAAAAATATCGGATTTTAAAATGTAACTCTGTGAGAATATTTTTTAGAAGGCAGCATTCTTTGTGCCAAAAATCGGGTTTATACTTCCCTCAGCCTCCATGTATCTAATATAAATATTTTCGAACTCCGGTTTGACTTTATACCGCATCTATCGGTTAATAGTAATGTTGTTTCATTTGATTTATTATACTCTCAACCTGGAGAGGTCAGATTAGTATACACTTTTGCTTTCGCAACGACTTTCATTGTAAATTTAACATGATCACTATACCTAATAAATAGTTGGAAGTCAAAAATATTTATTAAAGTGATGATTACAAATTAACAGGTGCTCAGGGGAACAGTAATAACAATTTGTAATATTCTTCGAGACATCTCTGTCTTATTTCGATTTAATAAAACTTAGCAAATACTTAATATGCCATATATTTGTACAGAAGGTTTTTAATGTAGTATACAAGTGGTTAGTATGATTAAGCAAGTAAGTGTCAACTGATTTATAACTAAAGTACATACATATCGTCACCTGAAATGCAAAATATCGTATCGTCAAAAAATTCGAAATTGAGTGTATTATTGAGTACGCTTCACTACTTCAAATTACATACATAATATTACATATGTTCAACATTTTCAGGTGCTGCGGTCAGATATAGTCGTAAACCAATTTTAACCAATATTAAAATATGTTTTCACTCATGTTCCATTTTATTTCGTGTTTCATTCATGCCACTGTAAAGTTCCGAAAATGTTGTTACGTTATTTTGCATTTCAGGTGACGATATACTCTTGCAGGTGTATTGACATTAGGGGATTATGCAAATAGCTAACTTCACTCGTTTAAAAAATCGTAAGAAGTAAGCAAAATTCTAAAATTATTTTAAGGACTTTAAATTTATTTTAAAAACTTCCTATTTAAGGACTTCATTGGGAAATCTTTAATAATGTTATAATTGTGTTGAGCACAGAAAATTTCTCATAAATTATTCGTCTAAAAAATATGTATTGTTATTAAATGTACCCTTTAAAATGGTGTTCATTAGTCAAAATTCAACTTGATATTTGGATGAGTCTAGAGATGAAGAGCCAAGATATTCTACAACTTTCGCACTATATTAAAATTGTTACTCTTGAAAGATCGGAAAAGTTAAGCACAACTGTGAACAATTGTCAAAGTTACTAGCTTTTGTTACCACCATAATAGAAAAAATTACTGCTCTCATTGCACTCATTTCTATTCTTATCAGCTCATTGTAAAACTAGGTAAATTTTAAGAGGCATCTTATATAAAAGATTCATCAAATACATTGCTGTCTCTACAACTCGGTGGTGCTGAGCAGTGATCGCATTGAATTTGATTTAATTAAAATGAAGAAAACTACTGAGTCAGTTTTARCTTGGTTAACAAAGGAATACTTCGAGACAATTTTGCGCGAATACAAAAAAGACAAAGGACTCATTGTAACAAATATTAGTGACTCTAGCGGAACATCAAAAGGTGATAGTTTCATTAGTACTTTAACGCGTTTTAAAGTAGAATTCCTGGAGTCAAACTGCAAGGAGCCACGTCAGGGATTTTACATCGCAAAAACTAATTATGAGGGTGATCCAGTCATTGCTAGATTTATGAATGATTTCGATGTTTACAACAGAGAAATGCTTATGTATAAACAGATTCTACCACAAATGACCGCATTATTGGTAGAAATAGGGGATGACGACAAGCTCTTTGCTGATACAATACATGTGGATTTCGAACGATCAGCTATAATTTTTGAGGATTTGTCGGCGTCAAACTTTATTGTAGGTGATCGTATAGCCAGGCTGAATGAGTCGCAAGCTCGGCTAACCTTGAGGAAACTGGCTAAGTTTCATGCTACTTCCGCTGTGCTTAACGAACGCACTCCAAAGATTTTGACTAATTTACAAGGTGGATATCTCAGACGTACAAACCGCGCTTTTGAACCTTTCCACGAGGGCATGTTTGAGGTATGTGCAAATTTCGCTGACAATTGTGAGGAATTGGGGCCTTACTACAAAGAGAAATTACTTAAACTGAAGCCATATGTATTCGAGTATTCTGTGCGGAGTTTAGATCCTAAACAGGGGCATTTTCTCACGCTCATTCATGGCGACGTTTGGACCACTAATATAATGTTCTCATTTGAAGAGAATGGCGACAATAATCGCACAAAGCACGTTAAGGATGCACGCTTAATTGATTTTCAATTTAGTAATTGGTCATCGCCAGCCGCAGATTTACATTACCTAATCAACACTTCATTTGAAAACCAACTGCGTTTACATCGTCAGGATGAATTAATTCAATATTACCATGAGGTTTTAACTAGCACACTACACAAGCTAACATATGGTGGGCATATTCCTTCCTTACACGAACTCTGTGTTCAATTGGAGGATCGACGCTTCTACGGTATGTTTATTAAATTTTTTTTTACCCTTTTATTTATAAATGATACATTAAAATCTTCCTACTCTCCAGCATTGACATCTACGATAGTAAACCAACCGCTCCATATCAGTGAAAAGAGTGACGATTCAGACCTTAATAGCTTAACCGAGATTAATGAGCGTTCCAAAAATTTTTATAAAGGATTGTATACCAATAAAAATGTACAAAATATAATCAAAGTACTACTACCATATTTCGATCGAAAAGGCCTTCTAGATGTATCTGACTAGATTTGACTGTAAGAATGATACGATTGCTCTGTACAAATAAAATAATATTAAAGAAGTAGTAGTATTTTTTTGATTTGCAAACACTTCACATTGATCAATTTGCATCAACTCATCTCCAATAACTTTCGGAAAACCAACTATTGTATTAGTACCTTTTAGCAAGTCTGTCCCAATACTGATTATAAAATGCATCTGATCAATAATACTCAAATCCACATAACAACTAAAGGTATATGCTGTTTATATGATGTTGTTGTTGTTGTAGCGGCAGAATCTGCCGCTGTTTATATGATAAGTACCATTTATGTAGATTTGAAAGCAAATTTCATGGACTGGTACATAGGTAGGTGGATTCCAAAGGTGAAAGTAAATATCATGAACGATGATGTCCTCCACTAATAAAAACATCCGTAGCCTGATATTAAAATTTTAAAAAAGTACTTACATCAAGTGACATCCACATTAAAGAAAGTGTTCATTGAAATATGTATATAAAATATTTGATTGGTGAATAAAGCAACTTGGAAATTATTTTGAACGAAGCAAATATCAAAGGCGCGATGTCAATTTTTTTTTTCTTTTGAATTTCGATAATTTGTTTATTTATCACTCATTCGTTTAGAAATAGATAATGTAAACTCTTCAAAAGTCCCATCCAGCATACTCTTTAACCACATCCTTATTTTCTTTGCGATGTCTGTGCACGGCACTGGCCTCGCCTTTCGCCACACAATGCTTACGCATTTCACGTTTTTCTTTTGCGCCCATGTTTTTTCTAATACGATCAGTTATAACAGATGGCGCTATAGTACTAGCAGTGGTTGAATAAGAACGTTGACTGCGTGTATCATTCAAAAGCTTTTCTACCAATTTTAAACGGTACATTCGGGAATTTGGATCCATGTTGTTCAGTTCGGGAACGTTATCGGTTTCCAGATCATTAGAACTCATTGATGCAGCATCTGAATCATTAACGTTGACACCGATATTAGATCCGTTATCTTTTACAACTTCAGCTAATTTTTGGCTTGAATGAATGCTGCTGGTTTTACCTTCGTTTGAGTTAGTGAGCATTATTTGGGAGGGCGCATTTGTCAGTTCGGATAATGGATCTAGATCTATATTCGCCAGGTATTGCGAGCATGATTCAATATAACGTCGTATAGAATCGTCGGTTTTCTGCGCGTTTTTCATTTCGCTGAAATTCACTTCATTTTGAAGTTGAAGACGATACTCTTTAAGAGTATCCTTTGGATAATTATCAGCTGGCGTTTCTTCCGGCTCAGAATCATCGCTTTCAGGATTTGTTTTATCGACGTCCTCGGGGATCATGCCATATTCCTGTAAAATCATTAGAATTATGTTATTTATAAAATTATCTTTACGCATTTAATCAAATTACCTGTAAAATATCTCTTTCCATTTCCTTGGTAACACCGTAACCTGTGCAATGTACTTCTGCATCCAAGTTGTCTTCGCGTTTTAGGTCTGCAAACTTAGGAAAGTCTGCACTTTCATAACCAAATTTTCTACGGAACATTTCTCGGACGCAATTCACATCCCGATCGAAGAAACTAAATAACACAAAATCATAATGAATAATTGATCGTCAATAAATATAAAAATATATGTATATCTTACAATTCAGCGTTTTCATGTGAGGTTGACATCATTTGTGGAAAGTCAATTAAAATTGGTGTCCCATCATCTGTGAGCATTAAATTGAATTCATTAAAATCTCCATGGATAACCCCAGCATTACCAAGGCGCACGATTAAATTCATAAGATCATCATAAACTTGTTCAACGTCTGTTAACTCTTGAACCTGTGTCCTTCGTAAAGAGAGAATTGCTTGAATTAAATAATTTGTTCATATTCTTTTCATTCTCATATAACATACATTGGCCATCCGTTGACAAGCTCCATTAACACGCAATGTCGATTGAAGTCTATTGGTTTAGGCACTGGGAACCCACGATCGTGCAACGCACTCATATAAGCAAATTCTCTAGTTGCCGATATACGTGATAAATATAGCCACGAGGCTTTGTGTCGACGACCATGATAATCTCGCTTTGATTTAATATTTCTGAAACAGGTCCTACCTAGTCGATGAAGCTTTAAGCATATAGATTTACTGTCTTCGTCGGCAACCACATATATATTTGATTCCTTGCCCACACCTATTTGGTTACCGAATGACGATACAGAACCGCGCAAAGTTAGAGATTTCAAAGCCAAATAGTCATACCCCGTGTTCGTTAGGCGATACCCATCATCTGTGCGAAAAAACTTATTATAATAGGCGTATTGTTTAGCATTTTTCTCGTTAACTCACATTTTTTTCCACGTTCGTATGAAACCAGTTTGTGCTTACATAGCTCCCTCAGTAATTTATGGACGCCGCCAGCCTTTAAATTAGCAATAGATGCAGCTAATTGTCCAGGAACAAGCTCATGATTCTTCATTCCCATTTCGATCTAAAATATATACCAAATTTATCAAACTGTACCTTAYTATATTAGGAAAAACAAACCGCTGTGAGCACACGAAAATCTTCCTTGGTTAAATATCGTAACACGGTAACATCGAGCTTTCCCATTGTAAGATTTTATGAACAATTAAAACAATAAGCGAGTTTTTACAAAACACTACCGAACACGTTGCGTCAAAAGCAAATAATAAATACATATTCTTTTCAGGGATGCTTTCACAGAAAACAGCTGCCCAAACTCACATACTAACCACGGCGTCATCTGTTTGCCAGATATGCATTCATGGAGAACATTAAAAGGTAAGGAACCGGAAATGCGGGAATAAAAAGARCCCGTGAAATATATTAAAAAATTCTTTATCGTAATTTTATTTTATATTGCAGAAAAAGAGCGAGAGCAGAAGTTATCACATATACAATTTCACTTATAAATACCATTTTTTTAATTTTTATTGGACTAAGTTTTGCAATCTTCYTTCTTGTATATATCTTTGTCTTCCTCTGCACATCTTATTACAACTTTTTTATTACCAATATTTGATTCATGTAACGCCTTTCGAAAAGCCTGCTCAACTTTACGCCATTGAAAGACATTTGCAACTAATCGACCAATAGGCGCTTTACCCCCATCAATCAACTGTAGCGCAGTTGGGAACCTGAACAGGTAACAAGAGTTCAGACGACACGTAAACGCTTTGCAGATGAGTTAATAATGAGACAATGACTTACATATTAATTGAGCGAAAGCTCGGAATCAGTTTCAGATTTTTCATAAGAACGTCCATTGCATTGAAACACGCACACTCCGCATCACACTCCGCTAGGATGCATATGCCGCATGGCTTCAGTGCCATTACTGATAAATTCATTGACTTCTCTGACACGGCACAGTTTATAATAGCATCCGGCCAATCATGTAATGCGCTATACAAACACTCAAGTATCATGCAATACTGCATGTCCGCATCATAGTGCATGCATTTAAAGTGAAAGGTTTTCTCAATTGTTTCGAGGGGTTCCTTTATTGTGGACGCTACACAGATGTTACCCACCCCGATTGCGCGTGCGCACAATGCCGCGGAAATGGCAGTGGGACCCGCTCCGATGATTAGGACATTGGTCGTGGGTAGAACTTGTGCTTTGAAACAAGCCTGACATCCAAGCGCCAACGTTTGCGTAAGAGTTGCTTCGATCATATCGACATCGGCTGGAATTTTGTGGCACAAATCAGCGGGGTGAACTTGGTATTTGCGTAGAAATCCATTGAATATTAAATTGTTACAGATGTTGTAGCAACCTTTCTTGCAATAGTCGCAAATGCCACATGCTAAGCCCGATTCAACAACAACACGGTCGCCTGGTCGAATTTTCGTTATTGAGCAACCAACCTAAAAATGGTAGAAGAAGTTCGTGTAGTACCAATTTTCTAAAATATAAATTAGTGAGCATACTTCTTGCACCACTCCAGATGCATCATGACCTAGAGTCATGCCGGGATAGGATTGCCCTCCAGTTTCGTAGTAATGGAGGTCAGATCCTGAAAGTGCAACTGCTTCGGTGCGTATCAGTACATCTATTAGATGGATTATTCTTCGAAATAACAAATTCCTATATAAATAGTGATTTTTTTACCATACTCATTAAACTTTGGTAATGCTTCTAAACACCGTTCGACTGTACACGGTTCCAGTATTCTTATCACTTCGTTTCTTGTCTTGTTTATAAGATATGAATCAGTATTCTCTTCATTAGTACATTCCTCAATTGCCTGCCCCTTTTCGGATTCATAATTTTTTGTACCTTCTTCGTAACATCGAGCTCGATTTTCATTATAGGAATCCGTTCCATAATTTCGTTTGTGAAGGACAGGGAAGCGATTAGTCATATGCAAACACGTTCTAAAGCTGACAGCTGAGGGATTCTTATTTTCTGCCTTATTTTAAAAATTCAAATGTAAGTTTATATTTTGCAAGATCGTTTTTGGTATTTCAGCTCTTACCCTTTTTGATATTGGCACAGCTGGATTTCATAGGATCTTTACAGGCTTGTTCTTGGCACTCATCAGGATCGCTATAACAGTCTAATTTCGGTTTCCTCCGCTCGAGTTTATCAATGCGTTTGGTCTTTGGTTTTGATTGATACTGCATGCACATTCCGTCATCCTTGCTGCCTTTCTTTTTGCCTTTACCGCTTTTCTTCGAACTGAACTGTCTCCATGACATGAATCCACGTGGAATAGAGTATACGGSTAGTGTGCTGAAGTATCGTTTAATGGGAGATATTTCCACAAATGACTTATTATTCGCCAAAGTGCTGTACTGCTTTGCAGACGAGCCAGGTTTAGTTTTGCAATTGGGTTTTGTTGACTTTTTCTTCGTCTGACAATGATCTTTCGCACCACTCTTAGGCGACGACGATTTGTCTTTCTTGCAGTCAGCCGATTTGCTGGGAGACTTTTTGTCTGAAGATGCTGATTTCTTTGCGTCGCATAGACTTTTAATGGGTTTGCATTTTGAAGCACTCTTCGACGCACTTTCAGACTTGCAATCGGGCTTTTTGTCCGATTTAGATTTCTTTTTATCGCATAAACTTTTAATCGGTTTGCATTTCGATCTTGATTTGTCTGCATTTGATTTCTTACCCGGGTCTTTATCGGATGAGCAGGAGGTTTTCGAATCTTTGCTTTTGCAGAAGCCTTCGTAACGTTTACATTCTTTGTTTGTGGCTGATTTAGGAGGTGGTTTCTTTACGTCGCAAAGGTTTTTCGCTTTTCCACCTTTTCCGCCTGATCCACATTTGGACTTATCACTATCTTTAGAGCTAGCACTATTAAATGGCTTGCATTTACTTTTGGAGGAGTCGGCTTTTTTCGCTTTTGGCGATTCGCATTTGCTATCAGTTTTTTTTATGTCACTGGTGCTCTTAGATTTCTTTGCTGTCTTATCGCTACCAGAAGTCGAAGATGGGGATTTTTTCATATCACCTAAACTCTTTACCATCTTACATTCGAAATCTTTTCCAGAAGAGAATTCCTTTTTGTTCTTGTCAGATTTTTCATTGATGTTAAGACACGGATCCTTACACGGATCACCTAAATCACATTTCTTCTTCTTTGGTTTTGGACGCTTTTTCTCCTGTTGGCATGCATCAGTTTCGCTATTACATCTATTTCCTTTCTTCGAATTTCCACATATGTCTTTTTTCCCCTTATCCTTGGTCGGCTTCTTTTTACGCTTCCCGGCACAGGGTTTCGGTACACCCGGTGTGGTACACGATCCTTCGTCTTTACTAGCCGCCTTTTTACAAGGATCATCACTCTTGCAAGGGTCCTTCTTCTTATCTTTCTTTTTCCTAGTTGGACAATTCTTTTTTAATTCGTTACCACATTCGTCTATCAGAGGTTTGGTACAAGGATTGTTTTTAGTGTCGCCACACTTATCTTTCTTCTTGAACGCTTCTTTTTTCACAGATTTCTTATCATCACATTGTACAGGACTTTTGTTAGCAATCTCAGCACGCCGTTTGGTTGCTTCAATTAGCGCTCTGGCATAAGCTTTGCAACTCATTAGACCACGTGAGTTATAAGCGTTAATTATTTCCGAAGACGAGAGTAGGGGGATTTCTGACGATATACCAGCTTTGTTCGTCTTTTCTTTGGCTTGTTGCGTATTTGCGGTTATGTCTTGAGCTTTGAATTTTGGATAAGAGGCGTTGCCTGGTGAAATGCATCCTTTGGAACCATCGCGAACACAAACGATATGTGGGTCTCGATTTGCGCTTTTGTTTTTTGCCGGAGTCTTTGTCGAATATGCCATTCGACTGAGATCCGCGGGAAATCCCTTCTGTAACGCTGTACTACATATGTTAGCCGCTATAGTTGTGACACAATCATTGAACTCCGGCACTTTAATCTCACCTAGAACACTGGGTGTGTATTTTGATGGATCAATTTCGACCGTACCCTGAATCATTGCATTGAAGTCAAGAGGAATAGTGCTTTCGGTTTCATCCCTTCGTAGATCCAAATTAGCTTCTATTTTCACTGTGGGATCTTCCAAAGTTTTCGGTGTTGGAGGTTTAAACATGTTAATTTTCTCTAAGGCCGCACTTCTGAAGATAGCATCACGAATATTACTCATATCCATTTCAAATATCAACTGCATAGATGCTATTGCCATTTGTCGCAATTTCTGCTCTAAATTTTCGGGTACATACACAACCAAGTCACGTTTGGAACTATTCCAGGCCGCTACCTCGTAACAGTCATGAGTCTCGATACGATTTCGTTCTTGTTCGGCCATGGCACGCTCAAGTTTTTCGTAAAGTGATATGTGGTTGCTCTTGATTGTCTCTTCAGAAGGCTGTAGTGCATGTGAATTGGATTTTTCCTCATCATGTGTCCATAGAGTAACATCGTCTTTCCCTGAACATTGATCCATCAATGCTCCAGCGTTATTACTTGCCAATGGTACACCATAATGTGTTGATTCTGCTGTGCCCATTACATTTTCAGTAAAAGCTTCAATTTGTCGTGCATGTTCTCGAATAATAGACAAAGTTTTCATGGTGTTTTTGCTGGCATCATCGTCACCATCAAACATGTTAAGCGGAATCAACACGATTTTTGTGGAAGTGGTCGCAGACTGTATCAGAGCCACTGGTAGTATGTTACTGAGGCTAGTCTTGCTTATATCGTTTCCTTTGTTTGATGAATCTACATTTGGGTACACACTCAAATTAGACTTTCCATAGCTATACAGTACCAATTTACCTGACTTTGCCGCCATTGATCGTATAGAACCATGTTTTGAATTGCGATTATGAAGATTTGTGCGTCGCGCGCTGTTGTGGGAGCACAAGATCGAAGAGTAGCGACGTGGTTTGAAGTTCGGTTGTCGCCTAGACAGCTAAGAAGGAATATATATACATGTATTCCGCACAGTGGCAGTGGCACTAAGAGGGTGCACTAGTTGTCAACTCACCCTCAAAGTCTGCAGGACTTTCCCAAATATTCGCATAGTTTTCAATTAAATTTTTATTTACACAAGAAATTTTGCTAAAAACCAGAAGATATGACACAATTTTTTCGTATTTTTAAATTTTCATTGAAAAATTTTTGATGAGAGGTTCAGATGTTTGCGGATTACTGAAAAAATCAAATTGTTCGTAAAGTATTTTTTTAAAAGGGTGAAGCACCACAGTAAGTAAATCGCATACAAACAGCAGAAATCTCTGAAGCATATAATGTCCCACACCCCACACGTATGGAGTGGCGTTGTAGATGTGTGCGAAACCATTCAGAGCTATTGGCATCAGTGCAAGGCGTTCTAAACATTGCCAATATTATTAAACGTATCTAGTAGATATACATATATGTGTGCTTKTGTGCTATAAACTTCCAGCAAGTCCAAACGCAGTTAATTATAAGTAAGTTTCCATGTGCGCCGCGATATACATAAATCCATGTGAGTAATGCAGCGAAACATAAAAGTATTGAAATGTGCTGCGCATACTAATCATTGAATTTGTGTATGGATCAGTTTGTTTGTCTTCGAAAATTTGAATTCATACTTGCTTTATTGGCTCAGTCTGTAGCGGTTAGTTCGGACTCAGCTGTCGGTTTGGTTGCTTGGAACTAAACTGTATCCCGCGGATTATATTGCTGTTGAAGTTCAAGGACGTTGCATTAAATCAAATATTTAATTCTTTTCAATCTGAATCGGCCACAATGCTGGCAGTACATGGTTTCTTGTGGCTTACCACTTGTGTGTATTTGTTCGCGGCAGTAAGTGCTTAATTTAAATATGTATTTACAATTAACCATTCCTCTGCAGAAGGAGCAATATTCTAACATAACAGTATATTGTACTATATATTATAGACAATTAAGTGGGCAGTTAAAAAGATGACAATTATCTGGTGAATCTGGTGAGAATAATTTAGATGAAAACTWCCAATATTTTTGCAACTAAAGTTAAATTCTTTTGAGGATCAGCATAACCCGGTCTAGGCCTTGAACACGCTTCCACCATTAGCAATGAGTTGGGCGGTTATATCTCTATGTGTTGTATTTTGTAATGATACATACGCTCATCGAGTGCAAGAGTTGAGTGTGTGTGCATATGTCGTTATGAATTCCATAACATATTTGTGCGTAATTTTGATGAGCTACGAACCTTTTCAGTGTTTCCACTCGAATAATTGCCCGCCATTTGCGTGGTTTTACGCGTGTGCTGCATTAACAAGTTTTAATAAAATTTACGAATCGATTTATGAGGCTTCTCACTTCTACTGTTCAATAAATATTGCATTTTTTGCTTTCAGTGCTTAATTTTGGAGATTGCAGCGTTGCCGGCGTCTACTCCACTACCACAAACCACCCACATTGTCAGCTATGTACACCAGGGGAGAGCCGGTGCTAAGAGGGCTGAAATCAGGGAATTTGACTATGAGAAAGTTCATAGCGTGGATCATGAACGCAACGCTGCTATACGTGAGCAGCTGGATACGAATCTAGATAATGACTTCTCACGCACTCATACAACTGGAACAATTCACATTTCCACAACGGAGTCGATGAGTCACACTGATGACTTACTTGTAACAAAACAAAACACATTGGAGGACGCCGATGRCATTTTTGGTCGCAATGAACAACATGAGTCACCTGAGTCTGTGAATAACGAGAGATATTCCCATGTTGGCRGAATGATGTGGAGTCGCACGAAACAAAGCATTCCGGTTTTGGAACCTGTGCGTATTCTTCTGAATACGGTACGCGACCAGCATAACCAAACGGTGCATGCGGCTAGGCAACATCATCAACTGTTGGGCTCAATGATGGGTGGAATGGCGGACCACATGTCAGCGAATGAATCATCAGCAATAGAGACCGAGGAGGACCGTGAATCCGCCAACGAGAGCACAGAATTCAAGTTACTTGACTTTGCTGGGAGCCTTGTTAGTATGCTATGGGGCTTTTTCGGTAATCTGCAGCGCGCCTTTGCGGCTAGCAGTGGTAATGCTCTGGCTTCCACCTCGTCCAGTTCTTCAGGTGGCCAATAAGTATGATTGTGTATTGCTTTGTAGAAGATGTAATTGATTTACTCAACTGTGATTAACCATAAATTTCGTGTATTCAACGCAATATAAAGCATACTATACATAAATGTATATATATGTATGCATATATAGATTGGCGCATTTAGTGTAATTTAAACGATATCGAGACAAAAGTTAATACTTGTTAACACCATATTTGTTGTAATAAAGTTAAATTTGCAATACAGAACTTTAAACATGTCAAGGGTTGTTCATTTGCGACAACACAAACGTATAGACTTACGAATTCATTGTATGTGCAACGTATTTATTATATTTGATTAAGTTCGTTTCTTTAGTCTTTGGTGTTTTGATCTGTGCATAGGTAAAACGTATAAAAGATTTAACTTTGGATTCTGTTTTGCCCAAGTGCAGTACAGTTTAACATTCTTTGAATAAAAATTTGGCATGTTGACATGAAGAAAAGCGGAGCAGGTGCTTTTCTCTCTAAATACCAAATTCCCCTATCACCTATTTAATTTCACTGAAAATAAATTTTTATTTTGTAGTAAATTTCCTTCTCGGAACTGTCAGTCCTAATAACTCAGACCACTTCCTACATATGTAAACTCCCGGAGTTGCTTCTAGAAACATTTGTCAATAAAGCCAACCTATCGCTCTTTTTTAAAAATTATTCAGTTTTAATTCGACTATCATATATCAATGCCAGAGTTCTGCCGCTACAATAACAACAACCTGGCACCAATAATAATAGTATTGTAATTCGTTAGGTTGGCAGAGAACAGCGACATCTGTACCTGAAGTTTTCGCTTAAGAATTCTGTAAAACACTACCATTACTCGATACATACATACAATAAAGTTGTTAATAAGTAGTTTCACTCATTGAGAGAAACGCAAGAGCAAAATAAGCAGGACAAAAAGAAACTAATGAACATTCTTTTATTTTTAATTATTGGTCTTGCTTTTCAAAACATAAACCAAGGTATGTTTGACAGGTATGCTAGGAAATTGGGAATGGGTAAAAAAAAATAAAAATATTAGGTGGCAACTGCGGCTAAAATAGAAAATGTCAAAATTCGTGCGAAGATTCTGCAAAGTAGCATTATTTTGGCGCTACATACGAAAGGTAAACAAACAATTGCCGCGTTGCTTCCTTAAAATTAAGTCAATCAGGGAAAACCATTAGAATTTGTAAGTTTTATTGACCTTGAAGTTTTCAATTGTGATGCAAGAGCTAACCTTCAAGCTAGACTAAGGTCTAGCAAAATTCAACGCAAATACATACCTATAGAACAACTTAACAAACCCTAAAGACAAAAGATTTATTGTGTCAAAATATATGTATATTTATTTCTATGCACATCGTTTTTAATGCAATAGCCCTTTAATTGCCGTTGTACTTTTGTAGTCAGCACAACCGATCCGCGGGAGTGAGTGCAAAAGTATGTCTTCGGCTGAAAAAAGTGGTCTGGCTATAAAGAAGTTACGTGAATTCGGCTATGCTTTCAATGCAGGTAATGTTTATTGTATCAAGTGGTTCTACAATTATAAATATACACATTTATATTAATAAGATAGATGGACAATTGCGGAAAATTGACGACATTACTGGAGATCCAGGTGAAGARCCCTTCAAATTCAGCATATCTGACGATCACAAAAAAAATCAGGAGCATTATGAACAATTAGCTGATGTAAGTTTCAGTTACACCAAGTTTAATATTCATAATAAATGTTTTGATGAATAAGTAATATAAATTTTCGCAGCAAATTCCTGAAATAGTCTATGATTTATTGGAACAAAATGGTTTAAGTCGCACTTACGTTCCGGAGGATATACCGCAAGAGCAAGCCACATTCATTTTTACTAACCCTCAAAAGCTTGTAGAACCCAAAAAATTGATTGTGTTAATCCACGGTAGTGGTTATGTTAGAGCGGGACAGTGGGCCAGAAGGTAAGTAAATTTGTTTATACTGCGGTAACGCTGCTTCTTTCCTYTATGTATAATGTGTATATATCTATTTATATTGCTAATATAGCCTCATAATTAACAATTCTATTGACCATGGTACTCAGATCCCCTACATAAAACGCGCTCAGTCTCTTGGCTATGATATTTTGGTGACAAATACAAATGACAATTTTCGCAACATTAACGGGGAAAATCATCCAATTCCACGTCTTGGTCATGCAACAGCACACGCTAGATATGTATGGGAAAAATATGTAATGGGTTGTAACCCTGGGAGCGTAGCCATTGTAGCTCACAGTTATGGTGGTGCAATTGCGATGGATTTAGTAAGACCAATTATAAAATACTCATTACGTTATACGAATAATAATAAATGCTCTTAAATTTTAGGTAAATCGATTTACTAAATTTTTCGAAGATAAAGTGTTTGCTATTGCCCTAACAGACTCCGCTCATTTCCAAATACCAGTRAAAGCAAAACACGTTGTTTTGGACATTGCATGCAATTGGGTATCTAGTTCCGCCCCACTCGATTCGGAAATTTATACGGGGGAGGGTGAAATGCATACTGTATCGGCAGGGCATCCTAAACATGAATGGACTTCCTATTCTGCCTTTGAATCAGTTTTCAAGTTCTTAGAAGAGAAGTATGAACGAAGTCAAGAGATTGAATCAACAAGTAAAAAGGCGAAAACGGAGGATTAATTATACATACGAAATATTTGTTCAATAACACATTTAACGGATTCAGATTTGAGTGTTTGTTGATTGATTTCAAAGTTTTATTTGTCTGCCACGGCTAAGGATTTTTGGTATCACTGGATAATCATGGGCAAATCTCATAAATGTTGTGAATTTTTTGTTTGTATTTTTTAACGCATAGGTAATGTGTACATTCCATTAAATGTTGCATTTAACATTTTGTTCCATCGGTATATTCCAATCTTATTAATATATGTCAATATTGCGTATGTCAACTTGAATAATTTTATTTCCTCACGTATGTATATGTTCGTATATATGTATGTATAAACATCGGGAGCAATCATCAGCGTCTGGAGCGACGCAACATACATCGTATAAAAGCTATACATATATAYTACATACGTATGCATGTATGTAAGTATTTACATTTGGAGATATTTGTATCCATGGCAGTGCGCGATAGAAGCCAGCTTACCAATTACTGCAAGATGGTAGTTGAGGTTAGACAATGGTTAGTAATGGTCACAGGTTTGAGAATACATCCCTTCAGTAGCTGTCACATTTCATGGCGTCAACGTACGCACTTCATCCATATTAAGTGGTGGGTTATTGWCAATGCCGCTATTTAATAATTTGTTGTTTTCTTTTTGTTTTCCTTCTTGTTTAGTCGGTTTATACATTTCTCTTTTTTTATAATTTTTAATTTTTGTTTTACTCAATTCTTTACTTTTTTATTTATTAGTTTATTTTCATACCTTAGGCAGGGAATATTAAGTTTGCGACGATGTTTGTAACACCTAAAAGGAAACGTCGAAGATCTTATAAAGTATGCACATATATAATTGGACGTCCGTCCGTCTGTGAAYTAACACTTCAGTTTAATTTAGTTGCTCAGATAACTATATGCAAGCTCTTGTATGAAAATATCATTTTATTTGTGAGATGTGGGCTTTGTATTGCAGAACTCGAAAACCTACAAAGTGCTGTAATAGGCTTCAAATTAAGMTACAAAACTGTAATTTGGTGCAGATGATTACAGTGGTGAAGACGTTCCCACGACAGTCGGGTCTACGTAACCGGAATGGACCCGGATTTTTATCCGGCCAAGGACTGTCAACTTGGCAGAATTCTGCGGCTACAACAACAACAATAACAGTTGTGAGGGATACGTGTGTCGCATAAGTTTAATGTACATATTTCCTTAACCACTCAAGCTATATAACCAAACTTGCCGAGGTCAAATATATTTGGCATTCCTATTCACCCTGTAAAAATTGTTGAGCTCGGATAAAACCCCTCACTTTCACTTTCCTGTATACAAATCAAGAACTAGTTAATGTATTTGCATAAAACTTTGCACAATAGTGCCTTTGAGGGGAGAACCATTCACCATCACAGATGCCGAATATGTGGACCACAGTTTCTATTATCGAAAATATTGGGAAGTACATGAGACATAATTTATAAATTCAGAGACAATCGTTTTTTTTTTTTTTTCTATATGTCAAAAATATATTATATCGCGCATGTTGGCAAATACGTGGGTTGTCTTAATAAAATTTCGGCAGCGTGTTTTTCCAAGAACCGTGTATCTTTTCGTATTTTCACCTTTTTTCGTTAATATGGATAGTAGTAGAGGACCCAAAATTAGAAAAATTCGGTTCAATACTATCTTTTCCCCTCATGGGTATATACCGTATATATTGATCCATTAGCAAAATATCTTAGCATAATTAACTGAACGTATAATATTGGATTTCAACCGAACTTAGCTCCTCCTTACTTATTTCTTTTTGCTGTGGAAATCCTTTTASATCTTGTTTCCTCATTCTATTGCCATTCGTGGGCTCACGATGTGTATTAAGTAAGTTAGTTTAGCTAGTTTGTCACAGGAGGACTAGACTGGCGAAGAACTTTGGATATTACATTATGGGGATTTTAAGTAGATTGATGTCTCTAATAAATATAATACAGAAATATATTCATTATATTCTATATTAAACAAAAACGAAAATTGTTGATGGTTTTAACTTTTTCGATTGAATACAAATAAACTAGCTAAGCTATGAAATAGCGAGAGTGGTAAATAGAGCATTAAGACATCATATGAAAATAGGTAATAACCAGCAGATTAATTTATTTCTAGTGGAATGTATTAGATTACCTTTTTTCGTTGAATTCATTGTGTGTTCTTATATCTTCTGTGCTTCATTCCGATGTTGCCAATATTTAACAACAACAACACGTGCGACTTCCAAAGGACAATATGATCAAAAGCAATAAATAAGACCGAGTTTCTGACCYGATCCGTGACAAAGGATGAAAGTGGATGCATGGTTATCATGGATCGGCAGCAATCTATTTTTTTTCCAGGCAACAGACAAGCTCTTCTTGAATACAGCAGTCTTCAATTGTAAWTTATTACGTAATACGAGAACAGTATGGGCTCCACCAATGTACTGTGGATGATTCCTTCAAGATTATTTTTGAAACAAATTTATCATCTTCATTCGATTCTTCTGAGCCAATTTCTTTTTAAAGACCAGACCGGCCAGACA